GTGTCAGGGGTCACCTAACCTCCAAATCCCATCATTTGAGGGGACTTCCAATGTCTTCAAGGACTTCTGAAAAAATTTTTTCCAGGAAGAATGATGACCTAGAACAGGGATCTCCAAACTTTGTAACTTGAAGACATTCAGTTCCCAGGATTTCTCCAATGGCTGGTTGAGGAATTCTGGGAGTTGAAGTTTTATAAGTCTTAAAGTTGCTCAGTTTGAAAACTCCTGATCTTGAGGAAAAGAAACTAAGACAGCCTGCTTCTTGGATCCTGCCTGATCCACACATCCCAGAGCATGCCCACCCTGTCTCCAGAAGTTGTGAATGCTCCAACACTGGAAGTTTTTAAAAAGATATTGGATAATTATTTGTCTGAAGTGGTGTAGGGTTTCCTGCCTAAGCAGGGGGATGGACTAGAAGACCTCCAAGGTCTTTTCCAACTCTGTTATTCTATTCTATTCTGTTCTATTCTAATTTCTATTCTGTGGATCTAATAGGGTGGGCAGAAAGAAAAGTCATCTATTTTGACCCCATGTCAGGCAGGGCTTCAGAGGTGACAACCAATATTGTGAAAGTGTATCCGGAAATCTACAGGGAACCAGGACAGCACATGGGTGGTGTTACCTCAATGTACCCATAACTCATATATTTTAATAATCAGCTGGATTACTCCTATTACATTACATAGCTTTTGAGAATAAAACTAAAAAATGTTCCATTTTTTTTTTTGACAATCTACCACAAAATAACAGCAACAATGCAGATTCTGGCACCTGAGCTGTTTGGAATCCTATTTATATTAGGTTGAGTTGAACTGTGTTAAAGTGAAGAAACCACAGATGAAGAAAACCAAAGCCTGCAGGAAGTCTGGAAATGTATTTCATTTCCTCAAAATCACTTTGACTAGTTCTTTTTAACCTTTCAATCTGGATTGTTTTCAGCGAATAGGTGCAACCATGAAATAGATGAATTGAACAAATCATGAATTCCCGTTTAAAGTTTAACAATTGTTTCTATCTATTGGGCTTTCCTGGGTCTGGTATATTATCTCCCAGTGGAAATATATATGTGAGATAAGGGAGAGCTATACCAAATGTATCTTGTAAATTAGCCAAAATTCAATGTTTATCTTTCAAAAAACCATGTCAGAATTGTGCTGTGGCATGCACTTCTCAAAAGGATGCTACAACCAGAAGAATAGTTACATTTATTTTTATGTTCCTTTTGTCGGAATGTGATTCCTCTCTAGTTTTCCATGTAAGCCCTTTGACCTTCAAGCAGAATGCAGGTAGTCGACTTATGACCACAACTGAGCCCAAAATTTCCATTGCTAAGAAGATAATTGACTTCTGCCCCATTTTACAACTTTTCTTGTCACCGTTGTTAAGTGAATCACCGCAGTTAAGTTAGTAACACGGTTGTTAAGTGAATCTGGCTTCCCCATTGACTTTGCTTGTCAGGAGGTCGCAAAAGGGGATCCTGCGACACTGCAACCATGGTAAATACAGGTAGTCCTCAACTTACAACCGTTCATTTCGTAACTGTTCAAAGTCACAATAGTTCTGAAAAAAGTGACTTACGACTGTTTTTCACACTTAAGACCGTTGCAGCATCCCTATAGTCATGTGATCAAAATTCAGATGCTTGGCAACTGCTTCATATTTAGGACAGCTGTGGTATCCCCTTTTGCGTCCTTCTGGTAAGCAAAATCAATGGGGAAGCTAGATTCATTTAATAACCATATTACTAACTTAACAAAAATGCAGTAATTACAACAGTAGAAAGAAAAGTTGTAAAATGGGGAAAACTCCCTTAACAAATGTTTTACTTAAGCATAACATAAATTTAGGGCTCAATTGTGGTCGAGGACTATCTGTCTTTATGATGGTTGCCAAGCCTCCAAATTTTGATCACGTGACCATGGGGATGCTGCAACAGTTGTAAGTGTGAAAAATGGTCATAAAGGACGTTTTTCAGTGCTGTTGTAACGTTGGTCACTAAACCAATAGTTATACGTCAAGGATTATTTGTAGACATTAGACTCAGATAAAACTTTTTTTATTTTAATTAAAGTTTTATTTGGGTTTTCACACACATAAAATACAAGTAAAACATCTTTTTTGAAAATAATCCCGGGTTACACTTCTTTATATAGACACAGTTTCATGCTCATTTTTGTGTTCTATTCCATATCTTATTACTATTTTGCATTTTCTATATAGTTTTTCCCCTCTTTTAATTTTCTCAATTTAATTTGATTATCTCATCTCAATTCAAATCCCTTTTTCAATTAGATTTTCACCCATTATCTCTAAATAGACCCTGTTTCTCTATATTTTGTTTCTGTCCTTTATAACTTCTTTTCCTTTCTTTCTTCCCTCTCTTCTTCTCCCTCCCCTTTTTACCCCCTTGTCTCTCTACTTCTAATTCTCTCTTCTGCATTTCCCTCTTCTGTTGCTTTCTGATTTTATACTTATTTTTCAATCTATTCTTTTTCTGAGTTGTTTTTCCCAGTCTTAAATTTTCCATTCTCTTTCCCCTCTTTCCTTCCCCCCACACCTAAGATTACTTGTTCATTAAAGATGGCTTCTTCTTTGTCTCAATTTTCTTGTTCTGCAGGCATTTCTTGTTGTTTCTCATAGTTCCAAATCTCCATTTCTAAGAACTGAAATACGAAGCCAAAAGAACCCCTCCCTTCTTGTGCATCTTCTTTGTACTTTTTAAGTTCCATATTCAGTTCTTCTAAGAGTGGAGCCATTTTAAACACTTTTAAACAACCACCCGATTGATTTTAGTCATTCAATTGCAGTAACCAAGAATCCAGAGATCACCAAGTAATCCAAATACTCCCAAGCTGTTTCTTCTTATTTCTTTTTTTCACTTTCTCTTCCTGGGGTTTTACTATTTTGTTGCGATGTTTCAGTTAAGATGTATCTTTTAGAAGTCTTGTTGAGATTTTACTGTAAATTCTTTTTAATCCCAGGCAGTCTCCTCCCGTCCAGATCCTGCCCTTTTATTCTTTTTCTCCCCTCTCCTGTTTTCAAAAGCTTTTAATTATCCAGAAATCTTTATTATCCCTTTGACTTTTTATTTTCAGCATTAAATACCTATAAATGTCAAAGTGGATTTTTTTCCAATTTCTTGCTTAAGTCTCTTAACTGTCAGTATAGGAAAAGGAAAAAAAAAACACCAAATCCTTTCCCTTTCTCTCTCCTTTGCTGCTTAGAAATCTTCTTTGGGAACAGTGTTATTTTTTTAAATAGTTTAAATTCCAGGGTACCTTATTTGTTGATTTGCTGTTTGACCCGGTCAACCAAAACTTTCTCTTATCTTCCTCCTGCACATTCTTTTCCGGTTGAGTTCTTCTTTGTGGTGGCCATTTCTGACCACTGCTACAACCGCCTTCGGGAAAGGGAGTAATGGCCAGCTGAGGAGGAGAGATGCAGCTCTCCTCAACCCTGCATGCAGTCTCCCCCTTCTTCACCACCTCTACAGAGTGGCTTAGCCCCGAAACCAGCCAGCTCGGGGTGCTCTAATGGCAAGCATGGATCGAAATCACGCAGAGTTGCGGTTTCAGTCTGTTGTCGAAGAAGCTCAAACCCCAACTCAGATAAAACTTTTAAGCCTCTCAGAGCTCCATCTAGATATTTTGGGGACCATTTTCTGTTCTGTGCTGGGTACTCCTCTCTTTGACACAGCTTGGCATTGCTACCCATGTCTCCCCTGCATGCCCCGCCCCCCCAGTCACTCCTTAGGGTATTGCTTTCTTTTTTTCCCCTTCCAATGATCAGCTGTTCCAATGATCAGCTGTGCCAGGATCCCCCTCGCTGTCTTACTGCTTCACCCAGGAGGCTTCCCTGAGGCCCAGGAGGCTAAAAAACAGAGTGCAGGGTGGTGGTGCAGCATGGTCTCCCCATTCCCCGCCCCCGTGCTCTGTATTTGGCCTCCTGGGCCTCAGGGAAACCTCCTGGGAGCAAAAATGGCCTCCTAGGAGGCCCCCCCCAAAAAAGGAGCAAGGGGGGAGGGGTGCTGAAAAAAAAGAAAAAAGAAGCCATTCCCACAGTTATATGGCCACGCCCACATAGCTATACCCACAGAACCGGTAGTAAAAATATACGCATCCCACCCTTGGGTTGATCATTTTACCCACAAACTAGAAGCCCCCTAATTCTGCAGGTTGGCATTAGAACTGGGAAAAGGCACTTGCACACCACAAATCAGCTTGTGCTGTAAACAGATGTGCATCTTGGGTGGAAAGCAATAAATATATGAAATAAGGATCGAAGGAGCTGTGGTTGATTGTTGAAATGATCATTCAGGAACACCATTAATCATGCTTTTGACTTCAAGGGTATTCAGGCAATGGTAGCAACAACCATTCTTAATTGTCTTTATATTTAATGATCAATGCTGCCCAGTCAACTGTTGATATGGGTGGCTATGAAATTCAATTAAAATGAATCACACTTAATTATGGCTTAATAAGATGTGTGAATTAGAGAATTATTAATTCTGGATAAAATATATTTTTAAAAGTCTAATTTCAAGTCCAGCTTGGCTCCCAATGATTAATACAGCCCTATCATTCATATCGCAGATATGTTGTTTTGCCTGCCCAATTGACATGATATTTCTTAGTGGTCTCCCATCCATGTAATAATAAGACCCAACTTTATGTAGCTTTTGGAGAGCAGACAGGAGTATTCAGGTACTCCCATTTAGGTGAACTTTTAAACTTAAGATACTCTGAAACTAATTTCTGGTGATTTCATTCATACAACTATGAAGTTTTCTTGGCAACAGAAGAGATTGTATTGACTACTTAAAAGCAAATCAGTCTAGTAAATTATTTGTAAATTGCACCAGAAGAAGAAAAAAGGCAACTACACATTCTACTAAAATACTTTTATTACGATTATAAATTTAAGTTTTTCTCCATATACAATACATACATACATACATACATACATACATACATACATACATATATATATATATATATATATATATATTTAGAAAACCATATAGAAATAAATATTTCTTTAGCTAGGAACATACATCCTAGAGGAAAGAAACTCCACAACTGGAATTTTAGCTAGAAAAGAGAAAAGACAAAAATTCACAATGCTAATAGCCTTGGAGGAATTTATAAAGAACATAGCAAATATTAAAAGTAATGCAAAAAAGCATTTTAAAAAAAAATCTCCCAACAGATGGTACAACCCTATGTAAGAACTCATCATTAAAACAGGATGGTTTATTGAGTTAGAAACAATATCAGTGAATGGACAATAAACTGTCCACGTATTTCAACGCTGAGGACTAGTTTCTTAATATTCAGTATTATTTAGAGCAACATTTCTCAACCTCAACCAATTTAAGGTGGGTAAGACTTGGAATTTCCCAGCCAGCATGCTGGGAAATTTCCTATGCTGGCTGAGGAATTCTGGGAATTGAAGTCCACATATTTTTAAGTGATTGACGATGAAAAACACCAATTCAGAGGGGAGAATGGACTCGTTTCAGAAAATCCAAACTTAAGCAAACTACTAAAAGTCACTTTAGCAGGCTGGGTTTGCTCTGTATTTTAAAAGTCGACTGAACTGTATTTCCCCATTGGAGCCTAAAACCGAACACACAGTCGCACTTCTCATTTCCACATTCAGGAGGGATTGTGCATCAAAGTGACTATTGGGCTGCGTGTTTGCAACTCCACTTTCCAAACGGCCATCACATCTCTCTTTGCTTTCCTGGACTTGCCAAGGAGAAAGATGTGCTTAGAATCAGCTGTCCAGCCTACAATCCTCTCCATGTTGCCTATGGGATTATGGGCGGGTTAGTTCCAGAGAAAACCAAAATTTGAAGAAGTTCATTTAAAGAAATTGGCCAGTTTTACAGCCATGAAGGGTGCAATGGAAAACCTCGTGCTTTGAAAACACACCATGCCATCTCTTTAGGGTTCTCATTAAATGGAAAAGAGATAGCTTATTAATATGTTCCAGGTGGGGAGAAGTTAAGTTGTCTACCACACAAGATTCATTTGTGATTTCAGAGCTTTTACATAGCTCTAAGATGTATGCAGGTAGTCCTTGACTTATGACTACTACTGGGACCAGAATATCTGCAGTTAAGCAAGGCAGTTATTAAATGCATTTGATCACCTGCCAAATTCCTGAATTTTGATCACATGACTGTAGGGATGCTGCAAGAATTATAAAACGAGGACCAGCCATAAATCACGTTTTTTCAGGACTATTTTAACTTTGAATAGTCATTAAATGAAATGGTTGTAAATCAAGGATTGCCAGTAATTGATTCAATGGCCAGTAATTGATTCAATATATATATTCTTAATTGATTTGAAGAGATGCTTTTTTGGGGTTATTAACTTTCAGCCTGGTTTGCTGTTAAGACACATTAACAGTTGGACAAAACACAGCTATGCACTGTACTTATGGTTCAAAAGCTAGAACCCCCTTTTAACCTGGTTACTAAATAAACCCATTTTCTCAGACAGAACATACATGTAATAAGCTGACCCAAGCAAGCCAAATTTGCACAACAGGGTAAGATGTAAATGAACTAGTTAAAACTAAGCAAGTTTGAGTACATTGTCGAATGGTAAGCATTGGATTTGCAACTGACTAAGTGGCTAAAGGTGCTGTGTGTTCACACCTGATATTTTGTGTGAACTCAGGAAAATGGATGGATTGATCCGAGCCATACTTCAGTGAAATATGGGGAGGGATATTGTGCGCCCTCCACATTTCCAGCCCTGCCACTGGTCAATGTGGAAAGAGAACCATTTTTCAGACGGGATATTTCTTAGTTAATAAGGCAATGTCCTTTTCACATCTGTTGACCCAGTCTTGGAAGAGATGGCAAATGTAGTAACCTGTGAGTTTCATAAAGAAGGTGTTGTCGGGTTCCAGAGGCTGAGCAGATACAACTGGACCCGGCACGATGCCCAGGGAAGACATGATGGATTTAAGGTTATTCTCCAGGCCCAGACAGTGCAGACGTGAAGAATCGAACTGACGGTGTAATTCATCTTCCAGTGGATTCAGATCCATTTGCTGGCATTTCACACTGGCTAAGTACACCGGCAGGTTGGAGAAGGCACAGGTGTTCTGCTGCAGCCGCTCCTTGTCAGTGAGACCCAGCCAGTCTGAGGTAGACAGTGTTGGCAACGGGAGTCCTGGAAAGGGCTGAATGGGTGGGTTGAAATCAGGCTCACCAAAAGGTATCCCTTGATGATGCACCTAACACAGAGAGAAGTCACAGCATCAGTTCTTTGAAAGGTGGATCCCTGGATCTTCAGAAAATGATAGAATGCTTTCTCATGATGACTAAATTGCAAGTGCCCTTGATTTACGACTGCAATGAAGCCCAAAATTTATGTTACTAAGCGAGACAGTTGCTAAGTGAGTTTTGCTCCATTTTACGACCTTTCTTGTGTCAGAGCATATTCATGAACTGGAATAGAGCTTAGTAACAAGGTCAGCCAATGAGAGCTGAGTTGAGGGCTGAAACTTAAAGAGAGAATCTAGACGTGTTTTATCTGTGCTGAGTGTGTTTTATCTGTTCTGTGCTGAGCTCTAAAGTGAAAGAAAAACTAACTTGCTTGCTTGCTTGCTGAAAACCAGAGCTCTGCTCTGAACCTGTAACGTGTCTGCTCCTGTTTGAGTTTGCTTCATGTTGGAGAAACCTACAACTGATTTGTAAAATGTACTTTGTGTTTATAAAGAAGTTAAATGAAGCCTCAGCCATCTGTGTTTACTTTTCTTGTGCTGAATTTACCCTGCAATACTCTGAACATCTTGCCACAGCTGGGAATCACTGCCGTTGATACATTAGGAACCCGGTTGTTAAGTTAATCTGGCCTCCCTGTTAACTTTGCTAGTTAGAAGTTTGCAAAAAGTGATCACATGACCCCAAGGAAATCGTTATAAAAACATGCCAATTTCAAAGTGTCCTAATTTTGATCATGTGACCATGGGGATGCTGCGACATTCTTAAGTGTGGAAACAGTCATAATGTCACTTTTTTCAGAGCCATTGTAGAAGAAAATACAGTTCATTATATTACACATTTTGAGATGCTGAAAACCTAAGAATCATTAATCAGCTGTCTTCATGCACCTGCTATGGTATTACAGCTTTTACTTGGCTTTGTTTAAGTAAAGCATTTGTTCTGAGAAAAATGCCCAAGTCCTTCATTCAGCAGATTCAAATAATTATTGGCTGCTAGCCCCTCCAGCAGCCAAATCAGAGGCAGAGGCGGTGTGGGAGGTGGCGGCATGGGCATCAGCATCAGGGCAACATGAGAGCTCAGAGAGGGAATGGACTTGTCAGAGAGACAGAGGCAGAGCCTGGGCTGTCCATCAGCCGTCAGATGGGGAGTCAACAGCCCCCAGGTCTGGAGGTGACTGATGAGGAAGTGGAGAAACAGCTGGGTCCAGTGCCTGATGTGCAGATGCACAGAAGGGAGGGGAGAGGAGAGGAGAGGAATGGAAATATTTGGCCCGATCCTTGGGATGTAAGAGCCAACACTGCTAGTGAAGCCCCACCCTAGCTCTGGGGATAAAAGGCAGGGGATGGAGATGAATAAACATGGCAGACAACCATAGGCAGACCTGTTAGCCTGTGGTGAGAGAGGAACTTTTTGCTGGGGCCGCTGGCACTTCTAATAAAGGAATCACTGATTTAACTACAGAGGGTTTGTTGTGTTCGGGGAGCTGGGTCCAAACAATTATCAATTTGCATTGATTAAAGTCCCTTCTTCTTTTCTATCCTGGATGTTTTGTAAATAAAATAAAATAAAATAACACACACACACACACATACCCCATAGACAGAACCCCACACCTTCCATTAATTTCTTCCACTTATATTTAGGACTTACATAGTTTGACAGCAGTTTTCCTGAGCTAATTTGCATGCTGAGGGTGAGATTGTGTGTCCTTTCAATCTCTATGGCTATTTCTTGCTGGGTGCGAGAGCATCCAGAGCACATTGGCAAATCCACTGTAGAAAGAAGCAAGAAAAATGTTAGACCCAACAACTAGTAACTAAAGATTCAAATACCTGTATTAATAATACTATCCATGTTGTCCTTTTTTTTTTTTGCAGGCCACAGAACCTAAATGGCAACCATGGTGGGTGAAGAGAGTTAAGAGAGAGAAAAAGGAAATCAATTCATCTTAAATAATAATTCAAATTTTAGGATACAGCATCAGAAGTGAGCAAGAATGGAAAGTACTATACAGCAGTGTTTCTCAAGCTTAGCCATTCTTAGATGTATGAACTTCAAATCCCACCTAGCACACTGGCTGGGGAATTCTGGGAATTGAAGTCCAGACATACTAAAGTTGCCAAGGTTGATAAACATTTCTATTCAGGACAGGTAGTCCTCCACTTGGAACAGTTCATTTAGTGACTGTTCAAAGTTACAGCACTGAAAAAAGTGAATTATCGTTTTTCACACTTACAACGGTTGTACCATCCTCGTGGTCACATGATCAGAATTCAGATGTTTGGCAACTGACTCCTATTTATGACAGTTGCAGTGTCCTGGGGTCATGTGGTCCCCTTTTGTGACCTTCTGACAGTCAAAGTCAACGTGGCCACTGTGTCACCAACTTAGTTGCAGTGATTCACTTAAAAACTCTGTCATGAAAGTTCATAAAATGGGGCAAAATTCACTTAACAAAAGTTTCACTTAGCAACAAAAATGGGCTCCATTGTAGTCATAGGTCAAGGACTACCTGTATCTACCTATAAGATCAATGGGACCTATCCTTCAATGGCACCTATCCTGTGGAAGCTCATCTTAGGTTGTTTCAAAAACAGACACAGTTGGATGCCTGCTATTCACAGTTCAAAAAACCCAACAACCTTACAAGTCCCTTAAAAAAAGAAGACAAAAAGGACAGCAATTATTGAAGATGCCTGAAATTAGTTTGAGGTTTGAAGGATTTTCCAGAGATAGCATATATGGAATTGTGAAGTAATGCAGTTATGCTGAAGCTGTCAGTCCCCAAAATCACTGAGGCGGATTTCTGGGGAACCGCAGCAGTCATTAAATCAAGATCTCTATCACCGTTCTTAGGGTAGCATTCAAAAATAAAATGTAAAAATAAAATGCAGCCAGGTAGAAAATTCCTGGCCTTTTGCATGGCTATGTTTTCAAAAGGAACTCCAAAAGCTTTTTGTTTTGTTTTTCTTGCTAAGAGATTTGTTATTCTGTGCCACATAGATGTAGCTGTCCAATAAACTCTTTAAAAAACAGACTTTGTTCTTCTGGCTTGGAATGTACCCTCCTTCCCATGACCTGTGCACATCTTAGACACACCTGTAGATTTCAACACATTTTTTTGTCTTTTAACTTCTGGAAAGGAAAAGAACTTTGAAACTGCAGGGTTATTAGGAAAACCAGGAATGATTGTCAAAGCATGTTGAAGTTTCTGACACTTGCTAAATACAGAATGGAGGGAACTCCTTAATTGACTCCCGGATATCCTACAGCTGCTATCATCTGGTCCAGAAGCTTCTAAAATAGTATGGAGAAGGAACTTCTGTTGACAGCATGTTGAGGACCAACCTTTTAATGCGTGCAAAAACCAAATCCCAGCTCATTCATCGCTTTGTGTGCAGAACATGGGAAAAAACTCTGAAGCTATGCTATGAAGTTTCATCATTTTCTTTTATCTCTCAGTAGGAAAACAGAAGAGGTTGAAAGAGTATCACATGGATCCTATTAATGCATGGCCATTGGCTATTTTTGAGCTTTGGATGGATGGACAAGAACATTCATTGTTCCAGACAGCAAGGCCATTACATTATCTGGAGGACCAAGTTGGAAAAAGCTGACGTGTACAAACAGCAAAAACCACGATACTTCCTTCTTAATCTAAGTCTCCCACTGAGATAATTTCTATGCAAATTATTTTATCTAACAAAGGCAAAATTGTGCCAAGCTCCTAATCTTTCCTAGAATGTCTCCCTTTTAAGTTCCTTCAACTTAATTCAACTAGATTGCCAACTTCAAGACAGCCTTATGCAGTTTGGAAAAGGGTCAGGATCATGGATTACTGATGGTAACTTCAAAGATGAATGAACCCAGTGACAACTTTTCAAATTAACACATTTTATTAAGGTTATAAGCTGTTGGGAGCCACAGGTCTTTTCATCAGCCAGCAATATAATGGCTGCATATGTTTTTCCTAATTACCTTGGGGAAGACATTTGTGGGGTTGAATGGTAAAACTTTTTCTATAACTTTGTAAATATGTTGTCCATTCTGTCCACCCTAATCCTTTCCTATGGTCTCTGGTTTCTGTGTTAGAAAAAGACACCTCAGACCAGAGTTTCTCAATCTTGGCAGCTTTAAGATGGGTGAAATTCAACTCCCAGAATTCCCCATCCAGTCTTACTGTGGCTGGAGAATTGTGAGAGTTGAAGTCTACCAATCTTAAAACTTGCAAGGTTGAGAAACACTGCCTAAGACAATCAAGACACAGAAGGCTTAAAAGTTGGGAATCATGAACTTTTTAGAAGAGTTAGAACTGCAGTTGCAGAATTCCTGGCAGGTGTGGAATTCTGGGAATTATAGTGCCAGTATATTTGGAAAGTGCCTGGTTGAAGAAAGCTGAGACAGCAGGTTAAAAAAGCAGAGAATGGAATGAAGACTAAAGAAAAAATGAGGATGATTGCCAAAGGTTTCAAATCAGGACAGAGAAGAAAAATCTATCCATAGTTTTTAACTATTACTAAATGGAGCTTCTATACTTAAAAGCACTGTATCTGACTGGCAGACTGCATGAAGACATAGAAAACAAGACCAGGGAGGTATATTTGGTTGGATGAAGGAAAAACCTACATTTGCTCAATTGCTCTGGTGTTTTATCTGGAAATACCAAATTTTCTCCCTGGCTATTCTAAATGCAAATTGTATATTTTAGTGCCAGGCATTCTAACTGCCAAGCAGTAAATGTCTTTTAAAATTACCATCCAAGATCAATGATTAACTGCACCTTCAAGTTCAAGGTGTGAGGTCATCAGAGTCTTTACATCTCTTGATCTTCAGGATGGGGGTGGCGGAGGCAGAAAGGAAGAAGGAAAGAGAGCAGAACATTCCAGAGGTTTTACAATGAAGGAAATAAATTGGACAGAGAACATGAAGAACCAAAGGGGGTGGAGCAAACTATATATGCTTAACATGCAGATAGGAAAAAAAATCTGTCCAAAAGAATAAAACTAAACTGAAGATTTTCCCACATCAAATGTATTGGCCCACGAGTCCATCATCCCCAGCTGGCTTTGGACACACTGACCAAATGTTGTGAGGTTGCAATTCAGTACTAATCAGAGGCAACATGTTAGGAAAACACTGCTACTGAGGGAGAAGAATTTTCAAAGGCTGAGCTTATACAAATCTATCTTCATTGGTTGTGTGAACCAGGCAATGGGAGTTAACATGTCATGTGAATTCATAGAAGTTGGGTCGTTCAGTCTTAATTTACTCAGCTGATCCTGAGGAAACCTGAAACAGCACTGCTAGTCCAACCTGAAACAGCACTAGTCCATGTATAAAAGTCTAGTGGAAAGAATAAGAGAGATACTTTGTTCACCCAACTTCTTAAACCATGGTCTGCTTCACAGGTCTTCCTGAACCAACTGCCACCAACTGGGTTTGGACCTCACTCGAAAACATAAGCCCAAATTTACAGAAACCAAGCAAGCAAACCTATCATTTGGATCAATGATGCTGTGTGCATCCAGATGTGCATCCTCATTTCATAGTCATGCAACACTATCAAACTTCAGAATTCTTAGGAGATTCTGGTTCCCAAGAATGATGCAAATTTTACCATTAGCAAAAAGTTATAAATCATTTGCAGAGGAAGTTTTCTTTTTTCAAGCTATGAGTTATAAAATTTTCCAGCAACAGTTCTAGGATTTGAATGCCATTGCCTAGAGCCCTGCAAATTAGCAAATCTTAAAGTTTTATTACAGCTGGGAAATAGGTCCCCTAAGGTAATTCAGTAATAATCATGACATTAGGGAGATAATTAAACCTTGAGACTCTTGTCACACTATTGATCTGCTTCACAGCTGCTAAATTATAGTTTGTTTGAGTAAACCATAAATGGTGTGGATCTCCTCTAAATAAACTCTTGCTCCTGGTTAACAAAATGTTAAGCACAAATTTAACAAGAAGGCTTTGCAGCTTAGTAATATGTGTGAATGCAGCCTTGGCGTTACATGAGCAGTTCTGAGGGATGCATATGCCAAACATGATAATCTTACATGCATGAAATATATTTCAACCAAAAAGCAACCTGCCCATCTTCCTGTGGACACTTGTGTCTCACTGACCTGGATTCATCCCACCAGCAAAAGATCATTTATAACAGCCATAATCCTTAACGGTATTTGGAGCTTTGCTATTTTCAAGAAGTGACTGCATGCACTGACCTGCTTGCAGGAAAGGTAGTGGTTTAACCAATTTAGTCCCTCCCTCTGCTTCCTAAATAACTTTCAGAGAGAATCCTAAGCACAGGTCTCTTGCCTTTTACGAAAAGCAAATCTAATACCTCCCCCCCACCCCCAACAATTGGTAATTGTGAAACGGGAGAGGGAGAGGAAAGGAAATGGCTCAATTACCACGACTTTGTAAAGAGAAATGTGGAGGGCTACTTGCTGCCTTTACCATGCAAACTAGGCTGTGTGGCTTTGTTGACAGTCCAATAAGTGGAAAATGCAAGCAATAGGGTCAGCTGGGAACGCAAGCTTCATTTGTGAATTCGGCCACCGAGGTGACAGAAGGGTCCAACGCAGTCTCCAGTTATATACCCCAAGAATCTCCTTTTCGGTGAGATGGGAGGCATGATCAGCCAATCAATCACTCCCTACTAGCCTGCCAATCACTCCCTTCAGCCTGCCAGCTGAACAGGGAACTAAACCGGCCGATAGGGGAAAACTTCGCCTGAGAAGGACCCAGCTACCCCTCCGCTGCTGCCCGTCCCGCTCCGCTTTCAGCCGCTTCGCTGCCTGGGATCCAATTCGACCTTAGCTGCTCAACCCGAGCCTTTGGGATCGCGCCAAGCCGGCGTCGGTGGCAGTGGCTGGGACACGCACGATGTCTCTCCCCACCCCCTCCACACCTTGGAGAAGTTGTTTCTTCTTGACTTTGTTAGGCGAGCTGCCTACCGCCGGTAAGGCACGAAATGGAAGCGCTCCCGAATCGCGCTGAAACAGCGGTGGATAAACACGAGGTGGTTTTCAAATCCTTTTTAACCGACCCCCCCCCCCTTGTCCCGCTTTGTGGGGGAAACTTGGGAGACTCTGAGGAAACTTTGGGAAAGCCCTTGCTTCCCCTCGCTCTCCCCGCCCCACACCCCGGTTTTTGAGGACTTTTGCCGTACCTGGCAGCACTTCCATCCTGCGACCCTCCCCGGCGCCGATTCCCGCCACTTTGTGGCTCGCCCTGTCCCTCACCGGACCTTTTATAGCCGCTGACCACGCCCCCTGTCCCCACGCCGGCCCGGGACTTGAGGATTCCAACAGGCTGAGGTCACCTACAGCCTGCCTCCTGCTGGGTCTGCAGGCGGCTGCCCTTTCATCTTTCCCCACCCTCACCCTCACCCACCCACACACCTGCTTTGGGCAGGAATGTGCGCTTGCTTAGCCGATGGAGAAGGGGCGCCCTGGATAGATCCAGGAAGGAAGGGGAAGGCGGGTGGGGCAGCTTTCCCAGGAGAGAAAGGAAGTAGTTGGTTTTATGGAGTGGTTAAAAATTCAACACATAACGCCCAGTCGTTTGCGCTGTTTCCAGGAACGCACTCTCTAAAAAAAAAAAAAAAAACGGAAAAAAAACGTATAGGGTGCAATCGAATAAAAAGCACCGCATAAACGAGAAAGCAACGCAGCCGCCTTTGAAAAACGGGGACAGCCTGATTCAAATATAATGAAAAGCCCATTTAGAAAACCGAGGGAAATACAGAAAAGTCTTTGATTCCGGGTGGGGGGGTGATTCCTCTTTGGAGGGGAAGGTGTTCCCTAAATAGGATCTCCCCCCCCCCCCCGAAAGCTTTGAGGGGCTCCAAAATTGTGGGACTACAAGTAAGAGACTGTATTTCGTTAGTGAACTGAAAATGACTGCATTTGAGACAATTCAGAGAGAAAGAGAAAAAGGAGAGGAGGAGAAGGAGAAGTAGTAGAAGAAAAATGAGATAGAAGAAGACATAAAAGAGGAACAAGATGTAGAAGAGGAGGAAGAAGTAGAAGACATAGAAGGAGAAGAAGAAGAAGAAGAAGAAGAAGAAGAAGAAGAAGAAGAAGAAG